AGGGGGGCCTCCGGGGGGTGGAGTCGGGGGTCCTTCCTGAGGGGGGCCTCCAGGTGGGACCATAACACGGGGCAGGGGTACCTGTGCGACAGGAGCAGGAGCCTGGGCTGCACTGAGGCTTTGGACTGCGCGAGGAGGTGGGGGCGGGATGTGAGGCCGGGAATGCCAGCCCGGGATGTCTGGCCTGCAACCGAGTCAGGTGTTTCCAGAACTTTCCAGGTGGGTGTTCCTTTCAGCCCTTGCTCCTCACTCTTTTTCACATGCTCAACATGTCCCTTAGGGGGATCCTCTATGGAGGGGTGAATGGGAGCCCTGGTAGCATAGTGCCTAAGGCATCTGACTGCTGACCAGAAGGCTGGCGGTTCAAACCTATCAGCCACTCCTCGGAAGGCAGATGGGGCAATCTCCTTCCACAGAGATAACAGCGCCTTGGAAACCCAAGGAGGGGTCGCTATGAGTCGGTTCCCACTCGACGGCAGTGCGTTTGGTTTGGTTTTGGTTTCTAAGGAGGAAGGGGGAGATCTTCTCACCCACCCACATGCTCAGTAAGTCCATTAGGGGGACTCCTCTGTGGAGGGTGGGGAGATCTTGTTACCTGCCCGTACGCTCAGTACATCCTTTAGGGGGACTCCTCTACGGACGGTGGGGAGCCCTTGATGGCCTTTCTGGACCAATCATCTGAGAGCCTGCAGCTGTGACAGGTGGGAGGTGGGGTGGGCTATTCTAACAGATCCCTCCCTGCATGAGCTTCTTTTTAGTACACACATGTGTGGGGACTCCCCTGGGATTCCTGCAGGAGGGCAGTGGTGTCCCTGAGGGTCTGGGCCAGGTGGGGTGTCGGCACAGGCAGGAGGGGCTGGGGAGCCCTGGGGGCCGGCTGGGGCAGTGCAGGGGCTGGTGGGCTGCGGGCAGGACTCAGGGTACTCACTTGCCCGCGTGATCACACAGTACTTGTCGGTTGGGGCGCACTCCACCAGAGACTCACAGTTCTCGTGGCCACAGCACACGTGGCAGTGCAGGGCGGGAGCTGGGGAGGAAGGACAGGCCCGTCAGTCCGGGGCTGGGGGCTTGGCAGCGGGGGCTGGGCCTGGGCGGCTGTCTGAGCTCCTGGGGACAGCTGGCTCACCCTCTCTGAACCTCCTCTCGCCCCTACCTGTCCCTGGTCTTCCGAGTGGGCAGAAACTTCTGATGTCAGGCTTGCACCCGCCCTCCTGACCCTCGTCCCTGCCTGGGGAGTGTAATGGCCTCCACGTGACAGAGGAGCTGAGGGCCTGGGGTTCAGGGTCCTAGCATCCCAGCTCCTGTGTGCTCATGCGCTTGTCTGCCCACCTCTGCTGCAGCCACTCTGGGGAGGCATCTGTAGACCCCAGAGAACGTCCTGGAGCCACATCAGCTAGCCCTGGCGGGTGGCGGGGTGCATGTGCAGGTGGGTGATGGAGGGTGGAGGGGAGGGTGGGCAGGTAGATGGATGGATGGATGAGTGGGGGCTGGAGGTGAGTGGATGATGGATGGGTGGATGGAGGGTGGGGTGGATGGATGTGTGGATGAACAGGGGAGAAGATGGAAAGATAGAGGGTGGGTAGAGAATGGAGGAGTGAAATGGTGGAGGATGGAGGGCTGAGGGGAGGGGTGGGGGGTGGAGGGTGGAGGGTGCAGGTCTGTAAGGTGGAGGGCTGGGATGGAGCAGTGAGGGGTGCTGGGTAGAGGAGAGAACTGGCCAGCATGATACAACACAAGGAGGGCCGACTTGGGAGGCCATGGCATTCAACTCCTCACTGCCGCATCCTTGGGTGGGTCCCTGGCCCTCTCTGAGTTTTAGTGGGATGGGTCCTCTTGGTGATATAGGGGCATGGAGTGACACCCTGGAGGAAGGAACTCCTTCCTGCCCGAGCCCCACCCTGTTACTGGAAGAGGACTGCAGGAGGCCCCAGGCCTGGACCTGCTTCCTGGGACCAGAGACAGCTGGCTCCTGACCCAGAACTGGGGCTTTGCACACACTGGGGACTGGGGGTTTACTTAAAGGGCAGGGACAGCCTCTGGGTGCCTCTCCCTGCAGGCCTATGAGGAGGCTGCAGCAGAAGGCTGTAGGATGGCTGCCACTGGGTGGGAGGCGAATGTGCTCCTGGTCCAGGCTGATCCTGCTGCCCATGTGTGATCAGGGCAGGCTTGGTCTCTCTGGGCTCAAGTTCAAACTGCAGGGAGGACTTGGACAAGATTCTGCCCTGGTGGGCTTGCAGCTGCTTGCTCACAGCACACCCACACACGACAGTGTCACCCTGCGCCAAATGAGCAGAAAACACAAGGAAGGCTCTGTGGAGACACTAGACCAGTGGGCGTGGGGCAATCTGGGAAGGCTTCCTGGAGTGCGTGGCCCTGGAGCTGGGCCCGGAGAGATGGCTGGATGACAGTTTCCTATTTGCAGTTTGGGGAAAGGCCACTCTGGGCATAAGGGACAGCAGGAGCAGAGGCCAGGCTGGCAGGCGCCGGGTAGGAGGACCCAGGAGATGTGGGCACATGCAGGATGGGTGGGAATGCCTGAGACCACAGGCCCAGGTGGAGTCTGGAGGCTTTGCTGCAGGACTTGGGTGCTGGGAGGGCCATAATGGGGCGACAGCACTTCTGCACACGGTGGACCGTGTGAGTGCCCACAGAGGCCCCCTGCAAGGAGAGGTCAGCTTGGAGCTGAGTCCCAGAGTAAGACCCTCACCACCTCCTTGTGGGCTCAGGGGCTACACATCCTGATCTGGGCTCTGGGCTCCCTCTCTATCTGGGGGTTCCCCTGGCTAAGTCCCAGGTGCAGGTGGGGGAAGGGACCCTGAATGAGTCCTCTACGGGGCCTCTCTGCGCCTGAGGTCTTGCCCCTCCCTGGTCCCTGGGCTGCATTGAGAATTAGTGGGTGCCTCTCTGAGGGCCCCTGGGGCAGGGCAGCCCTGGTCAGAGCTTCAAGTGTCAACCTCAGGGATGCTAGGCCACAGAGGATGGAGGTGAGGGTCCCCATGTCCCAACTCAGCCCTCATCGGCCCCTCCTCCCCACAGCTGTGCCCTACACCCGGCACTGGAGATATGACGCAGGTGCCTAGCTGGGGGCCCCCAGCCCTGGCTCTTCTTGCTGTTCTTTGGTTCCAAGTGACACCCCAAGGTCCAGCCTTGACTTCTGCCCTGTCCCCTGAAGCCAGCCTCAGGGCCTTTCCCCATTGTCCCCTTGTATGCCTGCCAGGGGCTCCCTCTTCAAAGTATGATGCCATGAGACCCCAGGAAGTGCCTGCTGGCCCTGCCCTTCCTGGGCCCACCCCTCCGCCCTCCCTGGAGATGCCCCAGACAGCAGAAGGCTCCAGACTCGCCCCACCCCACGCTCAGGGGAAGCTGTTGAGGCTAATTATCTCGGGAAGACAATCATTCCATTGATAATCACAGCTGCCTCACCTCCATTGACCCTGTTTCCGGCCCCAAGGACATGGCCCCTAGAGTTCAAAGTCACACAGCCCTGTCACTGAGGTGGGGACAGGGCTGGAGCTGGAAGGAGGTGATGGGCTTGTGTTAGTTTAACACTGTCCTGAACCCTGGAAACTTCTGAAGCCCGGGATGGGAGTCACACCAGCCAGAACCAGGGCCCGCTGCCCAGCCCAGAGGCTCTGAGGCGCCTTCCCCGGAGCCGGACCTCCCCAGAAACGTCGTCACAGGAGCAAAGTCTCCTTCGCGGGCTTCTGAGGACACAGGTGTGTGCTGGCCAGGGGGGAGCCACGGAAAGTGTCCCCCTACTCACCCCCAAGTCCAGCTCACCCTGGAGCCCCTGCCTGGCCCCCAGCCCCTCAGCCACCTCCCCTGCTCCTCTGTAGGGACGGCCTTACCCAAGTCAGCGCACAGAGCAGCCAGGAGCGCCAGCACCAGAAGGGTCCTCATCGTGGGGTGGCCACAGTTGTGGGACTGGGACACCACCAGCGCAGGTGCCTTATATGGTCACCGCTGCCCCTGGAGCAGACCCAGTAATTTAGCCTGGGCTGCGGGGCCACTTGACTCACACCTGGCCTCCCGCCCCGCCCCTGGGGGGCTCTCAGAGGTCCAGGTGTCCCCTCCCACCACCCTCACTCCGCAGGTGCACGCCCACTCCTGGAGGCCCCAGGTGCCCCCCAGACCTTCCCTTGTGTGGCAGCTCTCCCCTTCTCCCCCTCCCAGATGAAACTAGCTTTGTCCAGAATCTCTTAGACCAGGACCCTGAGACCTGGGGCTTCTCTCCCATTTCCTTCTGGAGGGTGGACTTAGGGAGCTGTCCCCAGGCCCTGGGATGGCCAAGGATGGCTGTGTGGTGTGTGTGTGGGGGAGCTGGATGCACGGGCTGGGGCCCACGTGTGCTCTGGGGGCCTTGCAGTGGGGGACAGAGCAGGGGTGGCAGGAAAAGGGGTCCAGCAGGCCTGAGGACTGTGTTCCATGCTCCACCCAGCATGGACGCCCAGGAGCCAGGTTTCATGGTATGTTTTTCAGTAAGAATTTATTTTAACAGCTGTTTGCTTGAGAACTTTTCAATGTTTAAGCATCTGATGTATTGCACCCACTTGACCCCACTTAACACCTAAAATGACAGGTGTGGGGCCACCATTGTCCTTTAGGAACTTCTTGGAGGGTGCCATCCAGGGCAGAGAGAAACCTGAGCTCTGGTCACATCCCCTGAAGAAGTGACTGCGATGTACTGAGACGGGCAGATGACACACACAACTGCCAGAGGTGCGCCGCTGTTTCTACCCAGCTCCAGCTCCATTGCACCCCCTGCACCCCCTGCACCCCCTGCACTCCCTGCACCCACTGCACCCCTGCTCCCACTCTATGCACTCCCTCCACTGCACCTGCATGTGTGTAAAATGTGTGCTCCTGTGTACATACATGTGTGTGCCCATGTGTTCTGTGTGTGAGTGTGGAGGGTGTGCATTTGTGTGAAGGTGTGTGGATGGGTGTGTGCATGTGTGCGTGCATGTATGCATGTGCGTTTGTGTGTGGGGAGGAACGGGTCAGGACCGGCATTAGCAGAAACGGTCTTGGTGGTAAAGCTGATGAGGCACCGTCGCCCTGGCTGCCCAGGGGCTAGCAGCGGTCATGGGGGCTGAGTTCGGAAGGCGTGCACCAGAGGCTGGGGCTGCAGGGCTGTTGGCAGCCCGGCCGAAGCCCGGAAGCTCTCCCCCAGTGCTGACATTTCTTTCCAGTCTGGGGTTTAGATCCTTGGGGAATGTGAGAAATTGGAAAAGAAGCCTTAGCGTCCTCTTCGGAAGGACTCTGTGGCCTCATGCACCGGAGCTGCCGGGCAAGCACCCTGCGGGAAGGAACGCCCTACCCAGGCCTGCTGGCTGGTGAAGAACGCTTCCCGTGCGGTTCCAGCGGTGAGTGAGGGGCTGCGCCGCCCTCATTAGGCTAATCAGGCACCCAGAGCAGAAACTTTATGAGCTGGGTGTTCTCCCAATGACAGCCCAGGCTCCTTCCCCGGCCGTGATTAACGTGCGCGTGGAGCCTGGCATTAGACTCAGCCCAGCGCCGGGAGTAACTGGGGCGCAGTGGAGGCAGGGGACCTTAGATCCAGGCCACACAAGCATTGACTCGCACACGCAGGGCTGCTCCGTGTGGACCCACTGGGAGCCCATAGGCGCCTGCTGTCCTCCCACGGAACCTGGAGTGACAGGCGGGGTCCTCATCGTCATGGCCTGGTGAACCAAAGTGCTCCCTAAATCACAGTTGGGGGTGCTCAGTGCGCTCCTCTGCCTGCTGCCCACTGAGGTCCCCCACCACGAAGACCCATCCGCCACCCATTGTGAGAGGTGTGCCCTGGTCCCGGGGTGATGGCACCCTGCAGGTCTCGGCTTCGGGCAGCTGAGGAGCACACTGGGCACCCAGCAAGCTGGTTCTGTGGGTGAGGGACCCCTGAAAGAGTCTGAGTGCATGGAGGAGGAGCCGGGATTTGAACACTGGCAGTCGGACGTGGGGTCCTCTTTGTCCTAGGAGTCCAGAGCCTGGCGTGGGGAGTCAGCAAGAAGCCAGGAGAAGCCCAGTTCTCCCTGGAAGAGGGTCTGGGAAAGAGCTGGGCAAGCTCAAGACGCCTGGGCTCAGGGCTCGGCTCACACGCCGGGACCCCAGGCTCAGGGCTTGGCTCACACACATGGTGGGACCTCAGGCTCAGGGCTTGGCTCACACATGTGGGTGACCCCGGGCTCAGGACTTGGCCGGCTCACACGTGTGGAACCCCGGGGTCAGAGCTTGACTGGCTCACACATGCAGCAGGACCCCAGCCTGGGCTCAAGGCTTGGCTGGCTCACATATGCAGGGGACCTGGGCTCAGGGCTTGGCCGGCTCACACATGCAGGACCCTGGGCTGATGGTCCACCTCTCTAAGCTCTGTTTGACCACTGAGGGTGAGTGACAGCACACCTCGGTCAGCCAGAGGGAGCAAGGTGAGGGCTTTATGGATTGGACCAAATAAGAAGTAGCCATGGACACACAAAGTCCAGAGAGTGGTGTCTAACACCGTCCTCCATAAAAAGTAACCAGGGCTCCTTGGAGAAATGGCTGATTCTAGGGCCGGGGCGGAAAATGCACAAAGGGCTGGAAGCATCTTTTTCACACCTTTACTGAGACATCCTTCCAACACCATGAAACCCACCCACTGGAAGTGTGCGTACAGTCAGTGGTGTTCAGGACGGTCATGGAGATGCATAACCATCACCACAATCTAACTATGAAGCTCATTCCTCCTTCCCAGCCCCCAGCCTCTGGAAACCAGGAATCTGTTCTCCGTCTCTACAGATCTGCCTACTCCGGACATTTCTGCAGATGGTATCACAGTCTGAGGCCCCTGCACTTAGCTTCACGTTTCCAAGGTTCACCAGCTGTTGTTCACCAGGGTTCCAAGGTTCACCTGTCAGAATGCTACTCCTTATGTGGCTGAGAAACATTCCTCTCTATCTGCTAGACAGACGGACCACATTTTGTATCTGCTGGACAGACGGACCACATTTTGTCTACCTGTTCCTAAGTTGATGGATATTTGGGGTGTGGTGCCAGAAAGTAGCAAAGGGCTCGGAAACCAAACCAAACCAAAAACCCAATCTAAGCAAACCCACAAAACCCACAGAAGCTTGGGGATGTCAAAGGGGGTCTGTGAAAGAGCACCTAAGGGCCAAAGCTAGGGTAATTTGGGCAGAAAAGTACATAACACCATGCTGGATGACGGCCTAGTGCCTCAGGCATCTGACTGCTAACCAGAGGGCTGGCGGTTCAAACTCACCAGCCACTCCTCGGAAGGAAGACTGGGCAATCTACTTCTGTAGAGATACTGCCTCGGGCCAAGCAGGTCGCTATGAATCAAGTTGACTTGACGTCAGTGAGTTTGTTTTTATGGTTTGGATTTTAACCTTAGGTACAAGGTAAATGCATAGCCACAAGTCCATTATAACACAAATGCCTGAATAAATACATGAATGGGGATGAACAAATACACTTTACAGAACAATTTCAATTAATGTACATTGCTGCTCCACCCTTCAGGAGGTGGGGTCTAACTCTCCACTCCTTAACTATGGGCTACACTTAATGACTTCCTTCCAAAGGGGACAGGATGGAGTTGGGGCAACCTGGAAAACACTCCATCAGCTTTGTGGGCAAGGTCAACATCACTGGCCATAATCATGTTGGAGCATGGACGTTGATATGAGGGGAGGAGGACATTTCCCTTCTTTGGTGTTCCTCCCCAAAGTCGGCACCCCCAGTCTGTGAAGAAAACACCAGACAACCAAATTGAGGGACATTGTACAAAACACCCAACCAGGACTCAGAGCAGTCAAGGTTGTCACAAACAAGAAAAGTTACAGCCAAGCGGAGCCTAAGGAGACAGGACGACTGCAAGTACCATGGTGTCATTGGTGGGATACTGAGACAGGAACAGGACACCAGGGGAAAACCAATGATGTCCCAGACAAGCATGGAGTTCGGTTAATGGCTGTGTAGCAGTATTGGTTCCTGAGTTGTAGCTGATGTCCTGTGGGAATGTAAGATGTGAATGATGGGGAAACTGGGTGTGGGGTACATGGGAACTCCATAACTTTTGTAAACGATCTCTGTAACTTGCCTGTGTACCGGAAACTGTTCTCCAATGACAAGTTTATATA